CCCATTCTGACATTCAGTTTGGAGTTCAGGAGATTGTCTTGACCAGGACCACACCCCTAAATGCATTGAAGCAACTGCCATGTGATTGGTTGATTAAATAATTGCATTAATGAGAAATTGAACAGGTGTTCCTAATAATCCTTTAGGTGAGTGTACATTGAACCAAGCTGGGTGACGATACATTGAAGACACTAAGCGTAAGTAAAGCGAGGTGTTTGGGCTTCAGGAATGAGTTCTCAGTGAAGTTCTCTCCGGAGGCCAATGGTACCGTAACAGTAAACGCATCAATTAAAGGAAGCTGGGGGTAACGTACACCAGCGGAAGCTCGTCTGTGTGGCTTTGCAGAAGCGGCAGTCCCCGCTCAGGCAACGTCTAGCATGGGGTCGCACAAGAGCAAAGCACAGGCAGCTGAACAAACAGCCTGAACACAGGTTCATTCATGGGCTGCGGCTGCAGCTATTCACAGCTTCCAGCTACGAGGACTTCAAAAAAACAGTTAGGCGATGAAGAGTGAAAAGTCTTAATGGGCACATATTGTTTCATTCCCTGAATGCCATTTAAAGTGCAAGACTTTATTTATGCCCCGCTGCGTAGCTGATATGTTTATGCGAAACCTCACGGATACTTATTTCATCTAGAATAGTTCAGATTCAGGCTACCTCTTCATTGTTTTGGGAGTGTTAATTCAGGAGAATTTATCAATGAAAAGCAATCATATTGCAGCTATAACATTTCAGCTAAATCGAGTCAAATCAAGTCAAATCAGTGAACGCAGAAGGTTCAGAAGATGGACACACTAAGCCAAAGTACACCTGCTACCCAGATAAACAGCTTTAAACATTTCTTTAGACTGCCTAAGACTTTTGCACAGTAATGTATGTTGAAACCTCATGTCACTGCCTACACCAAAGGAAATTTCCATTGCTCTCTGTACTCAGTGATTAAAGGATAAAATTGTGAAAAGTTCAAATTTATTAAGGTAGAACCCAGAAAAGAGGAAAACACAGAAAGTATTTCTTATTTGTTGAGGTGTCCCTCACAGAGCATCATCCCTGAGGTGAAAAGTCTTTTAAAAATGCCTCTGTGAGGGGCTGTGGAGGGGGAGGGGGGGGGGTCTGCTTCCATTTGTGTCTGTGCACGTTCTAGATCTGTGCTGGATGGATTTTTAGACCAACATTCAAGCATGAAGTGCAAGATATAGTAAGACGTATGGCTTCAGAATTATAGTCTGTTATGGTTGGGAACCCCTAGTCAAGGGTTGTCTAGAAAAACGAAGTTTTCTCATGCTACTAAGTATGCCGTTATGCTGGCCAGCGGGCGAGCGGAGAAGCAGGCGAGTGGACCCGTAAATACTGACAAACAGGGTTTATTTCAGGAACAGGGAGTACACAGGGAGGCACAACAACTCACAGTATACACCACAATGACAGATCTGGGGGATACTGACTTAGACGCGGACTAAGTACACCAGATGGACAGGAAATAACAAGGAACAGGTGATGACAATTGGGTAGTAACACGAGGTAACGAGGGGGGCGTGGCACACACGAGGATCGGACGAGCTGGGCGTGACATGTGCTTTGTCTAAAGACAATTTCTTAAAAGTTGTTGCTGTTCTTTCTGAGGTCCCTCAAAAAGGATTTTCATTGGTACCCCCTTTACAATTCAAACTGAGCCCAGTCTTGGGATGAATATACATTCTAAAAATTTTGTTACAATTGTCAAAATGTAATGCTTGTGTCTTTTTCTGACTCTGTAAGATCCATTCTTACTCAATTTGATCAGATTTGACATTTAACTGGTGTACTAAATGTGCTAAAATCTGCTAATTTAAGGTAGAAAACAAGATTTATCAAGGTAACATCATAATAAAACCAGGCCGGACCCAACCCAGACCCAACCTGTAAGCAGAAAAAAATTATTTGGTTGGTTTCAAGAATATTATGTTTATTTAGACAACCTTACCCCTAGTCTATATCTTGTATTTTGACAATATTAAAACTTGTTTTCTCTTTCCATAATCATTTATACTAAACCACAAAACTTGGTTTAGATGAGTGAGTGAGTGAGTGAGTGAAGGAGAGAGAGAGGGAGGATAAGCAGCTATTCATCTTCCAGGCATCCATCCATCTTCGGGCCACCTGTCCACAGTAGGGTCACAGAACAGAGGAGATCCAAAACATTGCCCTGAAGTCACATAGGAGAATCACACGACATCAGATTGTAAATTCAACAACAGCCCCAGAAGCTTATATTCTTTTCACGTGGTTCTGACCTAGTTTCTGTCTTTCAAAAAAAGAAGGTGCATTAAAGACAATTATGCATTATTGATGCAGGGTTATGAGTCCACTTTGTGGCTTTTCTGTGCTTTTTATGTCTAATCCGGCCATGTGTAACTAAGACCTCCTGCCAATAAAAAGTTCCACAAAAATGTATAAATACCTGCTACTTTGAGAAATGTTATCAGCCACACAATCATTCTGCCTCTTTGTAAGCTGCCATCTATACAGGACTCCTGGGTGCTGTCTAAGCCAGATCAGTTAAACATGAATTCACCTCAAGTTGCGTTTCTTTTTATCCAAGGCATGACATGGCGTCAACAGAAGCCTAGTAGACAAAAACAGCTGTGTTTGTGAATTTCATTGGTGCCTGTGTTAGAATGGGAGCCGTAGATACGATCCCTGTTGCCTCTCAGGACAAACAAGCCAGCCTTCAGTGATATGCTTTGGTCGTTTGGTCATGGATTTTTGCATGTGTATGTCCAGGAATGGCTGGCATGTAAGCATGTTGGTTGCATGTTAATACTAACAGTATTCCACTGGTGTTCATGCAGCACCTTCAGAACGGGTAACAAATCTCTGTGCCAAGCTGTGCTGTAGGGTTATGACAGGATGCATTTTATCCGATTCCCTGCAATGTGAAAGTACAGTCTCTGCTTAAAGATTAATAGAAGATTAAGTGTCTGTTTAAAGGTCAGTTAACTAAAAACAAATTTCACATTTGCACATCTGTCATCGGCTGATTTAAGCATTGTGACATCACAACTTTTCTGCAACACCAAAAGCATCCTTCCATTTAGAAAATTTACCAAAATCTCTCACGTACACACTGTCTAATTACTATTTAGCCAATGGTGCTGTAAAGATTTTTTAAGCTGTTTTTTGTTTGTGTAGTGAAATCATTGACAGAGAAAAGTAGAAGATCCAGCGGCGGTCATAGACAACAGGGCAGGAATTATGCACATCCTGCTAGTCTAAGTTTAACACTACTGACAATGGTCATTACCCAGAAACCTTTTCATAGCTGTACAAAACTGCACAGACATTTAATATGCATATTCATGAAAGCCTGAAATCACAATGAGTCACATAAGCAATTCAACTCTGACCTCAACTAAGAGGATTTACGATTTCGAAAGTTCAGCATATGCTGTCCAGGTTTACTATGCTGTCTGTGATGGTTGGAAGTGTTAAACCCTCACATCCTTATAAAGAGGTTAGAAATATTACCTGAGTTAACAGTAGGAGAATGCATTTTAAAACTGTTTCAAATGCTTGCTATGTTTTATTAGATAGATAGATAGATAGATAGATAGATAGATAGATAGATAGATAGATAGATAGATAGATGTTCAGACATGTGTTCACAAGGAAGAAATGGTTTAGGAATAAGATGTCACATGACAACCTGTAGGTGACATTGTTCACATGTTGCTATATGAGCATGAGAGATTCATTTTACCAAAGGCAGGGACATGCCTCTACCTATATTGTGGGAGTACCGTGTGTGTTTAGGGGGGAGGGGGGTTCGGGCAGATTTGGTCCCTACCAACGTTGAAACCAAACCTACGCCCTTGATTTTCAGATGCATTTCAGCCCTGGCCTGCTTTTAGAAATGGCATCATGACTCAGACATGCTGACATACAGGCACATACACGCAGGACAAGTGGGGCCTCTAGCAACGCACATCTGAACAGGTCCAGACAGGAAGCGACGCTTAAGCCTTCAATCAAAGGTCCACCATAAATCCTGCCCTGGGTCTTGGCCACGCGCGCAGGGAAGGATGGCGTAGGTGGTGTGTGCGGCACTGTGGGGTCTAAAGGTCTGAACGGGGAAGCGTTCAGCTGCAGTCCTGCTCAGATTTCTCCTGTCTACCCAGCCCACAACTCTGATGGCTTGGAGCTGTTTCTAGTTGTTTTCATTACTTAAAACACAACATACAACTCCTAGGATGCATTTCTGATTCCTTCTGTTTCACCTATAATCATGTGTAATAAATATTTTAATTAAATTTGAATGCAGGAACTCTTGTGTTGCAGAGCCCCTCGCTCTAAACTGCCGTCTCGTCTTGAGTGTTCATTTTTTTTTAAACAGGCTGTTAATGTTTGGCACATCTTTTGCACCTCAACTCTGACAAGATGCGGCAGTGTTTTCTTAAGAGATGATAATTACATTTTGCAATAGTTTTACTTGTAAGCTATTGTAGTAGTTGGCAAAGACCTCGCTTACTGCTCTGAAGAAGCAGCTTTTTTGCAGAGTGATTACCGGCTGGTGTATGTACACATATCACCTACACAATCACAAGTACCTTTGGATGACACCATCTGCCTGGATAACTAATCTTCCTCCTGGATACATCTTTTTTCTGAACGTGTCCCGTTTTTCTTGTGCATGATCTCTTCTTCCCAAAACAATTTTACAAGCTTGCTAACTCCGCTAACCTCGTTGTGAATAGAGCTGTTTAAGTCCAAAACTTTGTTTCATTAAACAGCTCAGACTGGATGTGTATCTTTACTCATTGAGCTGATTCCTTAATCCAAAACAAGCACTTTAACCTATTAAATGACCTGAAAATTTGTACCAGAGCAGTGTAGGTTAAATACCATGCTAAAGGGTGCAACAGCAGATGCTTTCAGGTCCAAAATCCACACCCTCAACCACAACAGCACCTGCTCTTCTGAGCTGAGCTGCCTAATGTCACTGAGACTGCAAGAATCTCTGCTATCCTATCTGGCTGGGTCCCTGTGTCATTTCTATAACCAATCACAATCTTCATTGTATGACATCACCACATTGTTCTGTTTTTTTCCCTCATTTTCAAACTCCAGGCTTCTAGCCATTGAGCTAGGGGCAGTGTGTGGCTCAGTGGGTTAAGCCTCTGTGTCTGTGATTGGAAGATCACTGGCTCAAGCTTTGTTGTTGCTGCTGTTCTTATAGACATGCCCTTACATTGTTCCATACAACCATCGCAGGTAAGCATGTTCCTATGTTTTGTATTTATGACATGTCCTTTAACAAAAGACATACACAATAAAATGAGTACTTTACTAATCTGTGCACCTTGCTGGTTCGCAGAAAACATTGGCTTTAATTAATGTGGTGATGTCATATAGTGAAGACTGTGATTGGTTAAATAAGTGAAATGCAAGCCCCTCCTCCGTTGACCCAGGGATGTGCTGAACTCGGGAAAATCTGGAGCTGCAAAAAAGAGTCAAGGGGTCATTATGCATCCACTCAAAAAACTCAGTGTCTAAAGCAAATGTTCATAGACAGTACAGAACAATCTAAACACTTCACCTGAGATTATCACAGAAAAATGTAAGGTTTCCTTTCAGCAGAATCCCAGATGACTCAAAGGAGATTTTGACAATCCCCTCCCCCACCCAACCAACTACACACATTTGTATAAAGACCATTTTTGCACTGGTTATATTCCAAGACAATTTTCACTGAGAGAAAAACCTTGACAAAAAGAAATAAACACTGGGATAAGTAAGTCTTTACAATTTCTGGCATGCTGGTTTTTCTATATTTATTTGAATTTCCATTTATATTTCTGTTATATTTATATTTTATTTTAGGCGAACTGAAATATGAAGGTGCAATTTGAGCTGAAGTTGGTTGTTACCGAACCGATGCAGGAAAAGGGCTGAGCCAGAAGGGGTAAAGAGACATAGAGCCTGGGAGAGGAGATCCCTAACACAGCTGAAAGGGTGCCTTTTAATTATCCATTAAACGTTTCTGGGTGGGGGCTCTTAATACCACCGTAAATATCAACCATCCGTCTTATAACCACTTACCCTTGTGAGGGTCACAGGGCATCCCAGGCTGCGCCACGCTGAGAGACAATCTGGGTGGGATGCCAGTCCACCAGAGGGCGGGCACAAGTCATGGTCTATGGCCAATTTAGAAACACTAGTTAGCGTAACTGTATGCCTTTGAATGGCAAGTGGAAACCAACATAACACGGAAAGAACATGCACATATATGTACATACAAAGCATTGTTGGAATACAGATTCCCCAGCCCTGGAGGTGAGACACGTAGGCATAAATTACTGGGGGGATGGATGGGATGTAACTCCCCACCCCCCCTCCAATAATCAAAACAGGCCAATACAGCTCCCCCCAAATAATCACAAAATGGGTGGAGACCTCAACCACCCACAATGTTATGCCCTTGGTAGGACAACAGCGTTACTTACTGAGGCAGTGTGCTGCTTCCCTTAGAACCACCATTAAGTAAACATGTAATCCCCGAATACCATTTAGAGAACAATAAAGGATCTTTATAAAGGCTCAGGTCAATCACACTGAGTTTAAATCAATGCTCTCTGTGTGCGAGATTTTTGGAAAGGATAACATATTGTATTTTTGGGACTGGCATCTCGCCCAGGGTGTACCCCTGTCTGGTGCCTTATCGGATAGGCTCCACGAGCACGCGCCACCCTGACCAGGATCAGTGGTTAGAAGATGGATGGATTTTGTATTTTTGGGACTGGCATTCCGCCCAGGGTGTACCCCTGCCTTGTTCAATAAGGGATAGACTCCAAGCCTTTTCAAGACCCCAAGCATGATAACCAGCTGCAAGATGGATGGATATTATAAAGTTATATATAACAGAATTGGAAAATAAGAAGCATACTACACAATTTTAAAGTTTAAGCTTCAAGCATATTTAACTTTAATTATGGGAATGAAATATAGACAATCTACATGTCTCTGCAAATAAATTAAACAGTTTGTCAGCGTTTCTTAAACATTAGTACCCCCTTGTGGTAAGGTTCAAATTGGGCACATATTTAGTCAAACGGAAAGGGGAATTGTTTTCCTCGACAGCGACGCAACTTAATGGAGGCTAATTTTGGTAAGGAAGTTTATTTGACATACAATAGTGTATTATTTCGTAAATTCTCACTGAACAGAGGTGCCAGGCTATTGGCAAGACTCGTTTTTTTGGCACCTCTGGTAAGACAGATCATTTTAATTAAAATCAATGATTATGCATAACTACTATAGCTGGGTGAGTGTCAAAGTGTAATTTAACATGCAATTTTCAAGACGTATATGTCTCAAACTGAACATGAATCCAATAAACTATAGTTCCCAGAATGCAACAGCGCTTACTGTTCTCGAATGAATCAGAGGGTCATTGGTCGCTGAGATGATGCCCATATAAGGAGGGACCTGTCAACACGGGTCAGCGTGTGAGAGCAACAGCAGTTCTCAGACAAGCTCCTCCCTGGAGGACAAACGAATGGTTTAAGGTTTCACTGGAAAAACAATCCTTTGTGAAGGAACATGGACTTTGGCTTCGCATCGAACTTCGTACACTTCAGGAGACTTCTGTCCTTTTGTACATGTTAAATTCTTTCTGAAAGTTGCATAAATAAAAATGTATATTATAGGAATGCCAAAAACACCTCATACAACAGGCAGCCTTCACACATTATAATGATCTGACTGAGAAATACAGTGATCCTTTCCCAGAATTCCCTGGGGCCTGTAGATCACATGCAAGCCAACACATCTCCAGCCTGATGCTGACTGCCAAGCGTCATCGCAGCAGGAGCTGCAAAGTGATTAATGGTGCGTCACTGGCAGGGCTTACCGTAGCCAAGGCAGCAGACACTGCCGATCGCTAACAGAGAGCCTGTTCTTGAGATGACGTCAACCTGGACGTCAACTGGGGAGCCAAGCTGAGTAGAAACAAACAGAGAATAGGGGCTCGGTCCAGACTGAGAGATGCAGCAAGAGAAGAGTTGCCCTTTACGTATTGTTTGTTAGAAAAATGGTTGGTAAAGACAACTGATGACAGCTGGGAGCTTCTGAAGGTGAAATGAGCTCATCTGGGAGGTGTCACCCAAGGAACTGCACTCAGGTACTGGGCCTGGATCCAGTGGGAGAAGGTGCTGATGGATTCATACTGGTGTGGCCTTGGGTCCTGTTGTTTTATTAGAAATAATAATAAAAAAACAAGCTCTACTCAATTCCTTCTTTCTGCAAGGGGTGTTTTCCTGGGGAAATGGTCCTCAGACTTTTAGACCACACTGACGGGTACGGCCTCAGCACCAGAGTCCTACATCTAGAGGTGGAAAGTTCAGGTCCAGAAAGTAAAAATCCAGGCCAAGATTTTGTTTCAACCAACCAGTTGAGTATAACGAGTCACAGAGTAATCAGCTGGTTGGCTGAAACAAAATCTTGGTCTGGATTTTCACCTTCTGGACCAACATCTTGGCAGTGACTTTGGAAGTGGTGTACTAAAAGTATCTGCAGCAAAGGGCATAGTATCATAGAGGAAGCTCACAGTGGCATGATTTCAGACTGAAAAACGTTTATGCATTCGACTCTTATTACATTTTAAATAACACCAAAATCTGATTGGAGCGTCAACCAAAAAAAATCACAATATTCACATAATAACCCTCTAGGGAGATTTTCCTTGCCACTGTTGCCTCTGGCTTGCTCTCTGGGGGCATTGGGCAAGGATAATGTAAAGCGCTTTGAGACAATGTAATGTTGTGAAAATTATACAGATTGAATTAAAGAGTAGCAGTCATGAACGAGGTTTTGTCACCATTCATATCACACTCTCACAATATAATTTAAAGAACAACAAGAAAAATAATTTAGCCAATACTACGAATACTAAAATGTCTAATATTACACCAGAGAGTTCCAAAGAGTGGTGATTAAGTATCTGTACTCCAAAGCGTTCTTTTAAATAAGGTAAGAAACCTAGTCTAATCTGTCCTGTGTGAGCGGCGAACAGCGGGGGCGCACAACCTACCGTCTAAATTTAGACTCGATCTCGGTCAGCGCGTTGCCCCGCGGAGGAGCCGCAGGTCGCGCAGTCTGGGATATAAAGTTCACAGCGTCCTCCGCCCCATTCACCACCGGCACCATGCTGCGCACCATGTCCTGACAACCGATCGTCAGACACTGACCTTCCGGAGCAGAAAGAGAGCATTCTCCTCCTGGGCACCAAAATCCGACAGAGGACAGCAGCAGGATGTCAAACGAGAACAATTTCTTAACTCTCCCCAGTCGGCAGTCGGTTTTCACAGCCATAAAGAATGGAAGGACGCCCGAGGGAAGCTGCGTTTCTCCAGTGGAAGATGAGGACGAGGAAGAAGTCGACGAGACCCGACTGATCCCGAGGTCCTCACCGGTGCCCAGAAAACGAGGGCAATCCATCTTCGACGAGACGGCGGAGTATATGAAGATGCGTATGGGTTTGCCCAGCAGGAGAGTGTCCTTCGCCGACGCCGGGGGTAGAGAGCTGGTGCAGGTGAGGGAGTTTGTCGCTTTCGAGTCTAACGAAGGAGACGAGTCGGAGGAGGAGCAGGAGCAGGAGCAAACAACCGCACGATACAGCCTACATAATAGCGAGCCTATTAGTATTTATTCTGTGCGTCCGGACTTCCATCTGCCAAACGAGGCTGAGTTGCTTCTTGCGGTGCGCAACAACAAAGTGCAGTTGGAAAAGGTGTCCTCCATGGAGGACGAGCCTCTGGCATTTACTGGGCTCATCCGAGTGCTCAACATCTCCTTCCACAAGTCTGTGTACGTCCGCTTCACTATGGACGGCTGGAAAACTTTCTTCGATTACCCCGCGGAGTACCTACATGGCTCCAACAAACTGGAGACGGATCAGTTCACCTTCAAGCTCTCATTTGCGCAACCGTACATCTTCCCCGGAGCTCGCATTGACTTTGTCGTGCGCTATGAGTCCGCAGAGGGAGAGTACTGGGCAAATAACTGCGGGAAGAACTATTCTGTGGTCTTGAACCTGACCTGTAAACAGCAGTCGGCTCTGGGCAAGGAGCCGGGTGAAGAAGTAATGAAAGGCATCTTGAAAGCTACTAGTTACAGGTTAGTGCCCCGAACTCAGTTTTTAACGTGCAATGCGATGATTTATACACACATACACACATACATACATACATACGTCTGATTTTCTAATTTTTCGTCACCGCTTATAATTCATAGTGACGTTCATTCACCTAGGTGTTCAGTCAGTATCTGCCTAATTATAGGTCATCATATTCTATGAACGGCAGACCAATTTGACAATACCATTTTCTCTCTGGAATAGCGACAAAAATCTATATCATATAAAAAAAATAATAATAATTTAAATATACATTCATCAATGTGCCGGTCAGGCACATCCGGGGGGCGGGGCTGAGCACCTGCCCCTTTCGCCTGAATGAATGAAAGTGCCCCTTTTTACCCCTGAAAATGCCCCCTGAAAGTTCTAAGTGCCCCTTTTTAATATCCGACGATCAGGCAAAATAATAATCTCCCAAGGGGGACAACATCCCCCCCCCCTTCGCAAAATGTACCACGTACTGGTCGGCCACGCCCCCATGTTGGAGCACCTGCCCCTCGTAAAGTCTGTGCACGTCACTGGTGCCCGTTGTTAGATATGTATATTTATATGAGTAGCACGTGTGTAGAACATCTAACACCGTCTCACAGTGCAAAGCCATCTTCTCACTGTTACTGAGCCATTTTCTCTTCTCTCATTGTGACACCACAAACTGCTGTCTTATCCAGATATATTCAGTGTGCTGAGGCTCAATATGTTTTATTGGCCACACACTAGTTCATTGGAATGCTTTACTTATCCAGTCATATCCAATATAAAGTACAAGTTGCAGCACAACAATAAGTTGCAATGCAATGGCAACAAGTGTCACTTAGATATTATCATTCATATACATTAAGGGGTGCAAGTAATATTTCAGTTAGTCCAGATTTAGCAATTGATGGACAACATTGGGGACCAATCTTCATCGCCATGGTGACTTGGGTCCTGTAATATGCTTTCTGCTTTGCTGGGGTAGAGGTCGATGTATTTCCACTTAAGGGATAGCAGCTTGGTCCCCTGCACTGACCTGTCAAAATGAAAAATGTCTGGAATTATCAAATTTATTTTAGAAAATTCTGAAAAAACAAACAACAACAAAAATGTAATGCCAAACTATGTAAGCTTTAATTTGTCATTGTGATCGATATGTTTTAATGTAGCTGATGTAAGAAAAAAGTTATTGGGAGATTTTGAAAAACAATTACAAATGTCTCTTCCTGCAACACATTTTGTATTTTTAAAGTGAGTGAGAGGTGTTCTCTCTTCCCCCCCCCCCATGGTACTGTGCATCACCTCTAAATGTATTGCCGGACTGAGACCAGCTCTCGAGAGAACAGGGCAAAGTGGGATGGACCACTACTGCTATAAGAAGCGAGAAGGTTAAAGAGAGACCAGAATAATGTGGGTTTCCAAACAGGTTAAGGTTCGACATGAGTAGAAGTCTCATGACAAGTCAAGTTCCTTATGAGTTGCAGAGTCAAAACGAGCCAAGTTCAACATGGATGACTTTTGAAGATTGATGCTGGGAAGGTAACTTGAGACAGTCTAGGTTTTTTTTCCATTGGATGCTTGATCAGCCACCTTGTTGTAGCCTAAAACTCCAATGAGGGCAAAGGTGACCCCACCCTTTAAAAAGGGATCATGTCACAAAAGTCAGCTATCAATCACGTCATATCCTTGGCAACTCACGTGACGAATTTAAAAATACAAAGAAACGTTAGACAGTCGTCACTGCTGATCTGCTCCCATTTTATGCAGAATAACACTAGATAGGAGTCAAAATATAGACTCTTATAGGACTGCTAGTAACGGAATGGGAAAGATGCCCGGATGAACCACGATAATGACCAGGCAGTTTTGAAAAAATGAATGTTATAAATGATACACACTACCCTGTACTCTGTGCTAGCAATCATTTGATGACATACCTCAACAGGCAACATGTGGACATAGAGTGAACGTTGAGGATCTTATTAACTAACGTTTTTCAATTACCTGCCACCCTCCTGGCATTCCGCTTGGGTGCTTTAGGTATATTTACGTCAGCGCGTGCACCACAGAGCTCGCCAAGAATCTGGGGCAGGGGAATCTGTGAGGCAGATCAAAATAGGACAAGATGGGGCTCACTTTCACTCCCGGGGTCTGCATGACTTACCTCTGACCTTTCAGCAGTGAAGGCGGACAAGTGGAGGCAGCGGTTACCCTGCCTCTCTGGTGCTGGCTGTGGAAAATGAATCCACAGAGTAACTCTCTTGGAATTTGGCCATTAGGATTATCTGTTTTTTCAGTAACAGCTGCTCCTCTGACAGTTAACTCTTTTTTTTTACGGGGTCCTAATGTTGGGATTCTCAATAAACACTTTTGCAGTCGGAGATGCAATGAACCGGGGGGCGATGAGCACATCCATGTTATTCTGGACAAAAGTCATCATTCCAGACTTTGGGCTGATGCAAGCAGTCAATGTTAAGCAACAGATCTTATGAATTTCACTCAAGTGGTGCAAAAAATCGTCAGACAATAATCAGACAGATCCACAGATTTACCACGGTACAAGGATGGATGTTCCCACGTATTGCATTGACTAAGCAACAGCGAACACCTTGTTGAGGTGCACCTCCATGTAATGGGTTATGCCAGGTCAACTTTAGATGACTCCGTATCTTTCAACACTTGCCGCATGTTTGTTACAGTACCTTCTGGCTGAAGCCACCGTCCCCCTGAGGTTGCAACAGTTGTTGAGGATGAGGGCAACCTGCTCTGTAAGGGAACGCTTTTGGGGGGGGCAGCCCGGTCTATGACCTTAATGACCGAGCCTTAGTGGCACAGAGCCTTCTTGCTTGAGGTTCCTAGTGGTAGTGGAACAGAATCAATCTACAAAGTGGAATCAAGTCAACTTCATCATGTTGCATGGAAGGCTTGTAAGCCTTTTGGCAAAAGAAACTTTATTTGCACGGAGCCCTGCCCAATGTATGGTTATCTCTCCTAGAATGGCACACATACATTATATTACAGTTATTACACAATTCAGTCTGATTTTATACTCTGTCCTGCATATATTCAGTAGCCATTTTTCAATGTGTGGAATTAGTTCAGCAAGCTGTTATTACAGCAAAGCATTGTGGGAATGGACCCCATTTTTCTCTGTGTGCTGGTTTATTTTTTCATCCTGATCCCTTACTGCCTCTTTCTGATTTACAGAATGGAAACTGACACTAAGGAAGCCATGGATGTAGAGAGTGAAGGAGGTGAGCTTGCTGTGGGTTGGGGCAGCTGCTGATGTAACACTCAAGGAAATGGACTCATTACCTGACCGGGGGGGGGGGGGCAACCTGAACTGCCCACAGGCAAAAATGAATCCTATTACCACTGTTTCCCAATCCGGTCCTTGGGGGCCCACAGACAGTCCACGTTTTTGCTCCCTTTCAGCTCCTGATAGCAAAAATGTGGACTGTCTGGCAGGGAGCTCGGAGGGAGCAAAAACATGGACCGACTGTGGGTCCCCGAACCCCGGATTGTGAAACACCACTATTGCTTTTAAGTGTCAGCTGAACACTTGAACATAAAGTATGTTGTATACAAATATAGTTGTTACCCTTGATGGGAAGCAGTGAACTTTGACTGTGAAATGTAGCCTAACATCATGGGCAGTCTCACTTAGACATGTATACCTTTGTCCTCTTTGGGCTGCTCTACAGGCAATATCAGGGAAAAGCCATCCAGTGTGAGCGTGCTCCCGCGGATCATCCAACCTGAGATTGATGTTGAGGTGAGTGGCTGATTTATGTCTTTGTAAAAAGTCACTAAAAGAAACTAAAAATGTTTCTCCCCATGGAATCTGTTCATCACCACAGCCTCACTAAATGTATGGGTGGAATTATAGCATTTGTGACAGTGAGCAGGTTTAAAGGCATTGCAGGTACTTCACCTTGTCTGTTAATCTGCTTGCTTCTGATTTGTTACTGGACAAAGTGCCAGCAGTATCTCATGCTATTTTGAGAACACTGGTCACGGTCCAGACCTTTAAAAAGCCAAAAATAAAGAGGAATCGGGTGCCTGTTGTTGATGTGCTCTAGCAACATGCAAGGAACACTTCGCTGTGTAATTATACCAACAACCAGAAAATGAGTCAAATATGGGTTTTACATTTCAGCCTTTAAAAAATGACTAAATTACTTGCACTTGTTAATATTTTATGCTGACTAAGTCATTCCTGTTGGCAAAACAGCCCCCAGAGATATGGCTGCTCCAGAAATGCTTCAGATAGTCTGGAAATCTGAGTCTTGGTTGAAAAATCGGCTGAGGTCAGCTTGTTTGATGGTTGGACAGGTTAATATTTCCACAAGCATAATTTGGAAAGGTATAAAAAAGGCCAGTAAAGTAATTCATAATTTTAGGGTCAGTAATCCACTTCCCTGATTAGACTGTCCTTTGAAATGACCTTTTGTCTCCTACTCTTTGGGCTTGCTGTCTGTTGATCACAGTTCATTGAGGCTTCAGCAACAAATTAGGTAACGCTTGCCTGCCTGCCTGTGTCATGGATTGTCCCTGCCTGACAATGATTGGTGCATTCATTAAACTCTTCCAAATAGGCATCCTTTGGTTTTCTGCAACTCTTAATAGACGATTCTTTGTGAATAAGACTGGTGTGTGCATTTCAGTGCTGATCCCGAGGCATTGTTTTGCTTCACATGCTCTGCTGAAAACCCTGCCAAATTCCAGAGATTTTTTTCTCTGCATTTAATTCAAATATAGTGGAACAAGTTGAAAAAGACATGCTGATCCCCTGGACTGAGTCCAGATGAGTTTAAATAATTCTTGGGGATTGAGAGAACAGTGCAAACATGATTTGAGGTCATTGCCGTATTCACAATGGGATAACAAGTATTTGGGTGAACCAAAAGGGCATTTTGCCATCTTATTTTGACTGGCCCATTTCACTGTGACTGTCTGCCACATACCAATTGGACAGGATAGAAGGGTAAATGGAACCACTTACAACATCAATTTTGTGTGAATGGATTTCAGGATTTCAAATTGGAACTTGTGGAATTGTCATCCTGGGAAATTGGTTTGCATTCAAAATAGGCAAGCCCATAATTTTAAAGATTAATTGAATTTTTTTTAAAAAAACCCACAATAGAAATAATACAAATGCCACTGACATAGCAAATTTGTACAAATATACAAATACTAAAATTACAGAAAAGATTCAAGAGGAAAAACAAAAAACTCCAGCGCAGATCATGAGAGCAAAGTTGCCTTTTGGTGTGTGTAGCCTTCGGTCAGAAAGCTGGCAGCTAAATGAGGTGTGTGGTCTGTCAACCAACCAAAGGTGTTTGCAGCTTTCATCTGTCTAAATGATGTTGTGTACCCCCTGTGTGCGAGAAATTGATTCACATGGAATCCATGTGACAGGTAGACTTGAGAGATGAAACACAGCAATTGAAATGAAGTTTTGCCAAAATTGTGGTTTTCTGATTGACAATACAAAGCACAGTTCATGGCATAGTAAGCAATAAGTAGACATGGTGAAAATGCTGTCAAGAACAGACCTCTGTGCACATCTGGCTGCATGTGCTTATCTTACTCTCTGTGTGGAAGAAGGGCTCATGTGTCTGAGACACAAACCACAGCCTTTGCACAGCTGGAGCTTGGTGCTGGAATGGGTTTTAGAACTTTTGGAACCGAGTCAGGCAACGCTGGCCCATGTGCTATCCGTCCCATAACCCAAACACACATAGACTCAGGCCTTCTAATAAACCAGTATGTGTCAAATTGGGACACATCAGTGGCCTGTACTACAAAGCGGGGTTTACTGGCTTATCGGGGTAACTTGTCAGATTTAAGGTACCACAGTTTGAGTGGACTTCATATTTGTTCACTTACATTTTGCCCAGGCTACCTTAAATCCGACAAGTTACCCCAATAAGCCAGTAACCCCGCTTCGTGGTATAGGCCCCTGGTTTGCTTTGGGACATGATATACAGTATGTGTACTGTAAGTACAGATAGTTTGTGTTTTGTCCCTAAACTCTCCTAATGTACATATTTCAATAAAATCCTGGTGACCTTCGTTCAAAGCTAAGAAATCTTTCCTGCCTATAAATGTTAGTGCTATATATGACCCAGGCATACTACAGCTGTCCTGGAAACATACCTTAACACTGTTTTACTGCAGGAAAACTTTATAAATGCATGTTTGTTATCAATGTCCAGCATGCTTCATAGAGAGAAAAATAAACACCACTAATAGTTTCAGTGCATAGACACCTGCTTATAAACTTTGTGTGACATTCAAAAATTACAGTAAAGCAGGTCTTGTCTTTTTTGTGCTCATAAATATGCTTTCATGTCATTCTTTACAGAATGTTGATGACACCATATTCAGCCCTCCTTCCAAATCCAGCAGAATAATTGAATCGGAAGATGACACATTAACTTCTGTGGAGTCCGTCAAGGAGCAACCACCCTTGATTTCTTCAGCCATTGAGAAACCGATACCTTTAACCATCCAATCGCCTGTTCCCAGGCCGGAAGCAGAGTCTTACCAGGAACCTGACCTTGAAAAAGAACATTTGCTCACCTGGGAGAGTGGTAATGGTGCAACATCCCCATTGAATATTTCCAGTAGCTCTCAGTATGCCACTGACATAGCACCTGCTGGTAGCTATTTGGAACCTAACAGTAGTATTATCCATTCCACATCTGCCAAGTCATCCCAAGTCACAGAATATGACCCACAAATCTCAGATGTTGTCAAAGTACCCTTACAACAAGACGAGGTCCAACCCACGACCATAGTTTCTCAGTCCCTGGATTCAATGGACCCTGACAGGAATAGCCAAATTCAAGAGCAACAGACCATTGCCCCTAGAGACTTTGGGTTACCAGATGCAGAAGAGAGCATTGTTGAATTTAGGCAGGAAGTGGGTGACTGTGGTTCAATGTCACCTGAGGAGACAAAGCAGTTCATCATTATGGCAGAAGAAGAGGAAGTAATGAAGATTTCAGAAACTAGGCTGGGTTTGGAGAGTGGGCAGTCTGCCACAGGAGAAGAGCCTGGCACAGGGGCATCAACTATGGTGCCCACTACATCTGGCACCTATTTTGGATCAGATGGCAGGAGGATCCAGTGCCATGCTAACTCTGATACTGAGTACACATTCCCACCAAGCCATCTCAGAAGAGACCTACAGCGTAAGATGGATGATCCTGTTGGTATTTCAGTAACGGAAGATCTCAGACCCATGGATGAGGCTCATGATACCCCAGTCTACAAGCTTCTTAAGGAAAGAAGTATGCTACAGTTTGGTATCACAAGTGAAGCTACAGGTTCACAGGATGTCACAGGTAAAATTTCAGGGTTTTCTGAAGTCACTGTTGAGCCTGCAGAATTGCAGAATGTTTCAGGTGAAGTTACAGGATCCCAGGACATAGTTGAACTTGGAGGTTCAAACAATGCCACAGCTGAAGTTGCCGGATTACAGACTGTCTTAGGTGAAGGTTCAGAATCGCAGGACATCATGGATGAAATCACAGGGTCACAGGATGTCTCAGGTGAAGTTGCAGGTTCACTGGACATAGCAGATTTAGTCAGAGAAATACAGAATGTCACAAGTGAAGATGCAGGATTGCAACACAACACAGGCAACGTCACAGAATTGCAAAATGAAGTCACAGGTGTTCAGACTGTCACTGGTGTTACAGAATTGCAGGACATTGCAAGTGAAGTTGGAGAATTACAGGACATCACAAGTAAAGTCACAGAATCACAGAAAGTCACAGGTGAAATTGCACAATGGCAAAATGTCACAGGTGAAGTTGCAGGATCACAGGGCCTCACAGTTAAAGTCACAGAATCAAAGGACATTGCAGGTAAAGCTGTAGGATTGCAAAATGTCAAAGATGAACTCTCAAGATTGCAGCACCTCACAGTTGAAGTCACAGGATCACAGGACATGACCGGTGAAGTCACAGAATTGCAGAATGGCACAGTTGAAATTGAAGGATCGCATAATGTCACAGGTGAGGCCGCAGGATCACAGAACATAACAGATGAAATCCAAGGATTGAAAATTGTCACAGGTGAAGTGACAGGATTACAGGATATCACAGATGAAGTCACAGAATCAAAGGCCATCGCGGGTGAAGTTGTAGAATTGCAGAATGTCACAAATGAACTCACAAGATTGCAGCACCTCACAGCTGAAGTCACAGGATCACAGGACATTGCAGGAGAAGTCACAGAATTGCAGAATGTTCCAGGTGAGGTTGCAGGATCACAGGACGTCCCAGGTGAAGTCCCAAGACTGAAATGTATCACAGTTGAGGTCACAGGAACACAAGACATAACAGATGAAGTTGCAGGATCACTGGGCATCAGAGGTGAAGTCTCAAGCTCCCCAGGTGTCACAGGTGAAATCACATTGTCCGGCATCACAGGTGATGTCACAGGATCGCTGTGCATCACAGCCAATCTCTTGTCCTCAGCACCTGCTGCTTCTAGCATCATTCTCTCAGCTGAAAAGAATGATATCCCTGTTCTGGATGATATTTTCACCTGTCACCCAGAGACGAGGGCCATAACCCCTCAGAAAATGGATAGCCTGGGAAATGAAGAGCTTTCATTGAACCAACAGATATTCTTTGACAGTCTTGTATCAGAGGTGACCATGTCTGAAGTATTGATTCACCAGGCTTTGGTTAAAGCTTTTGTGACCTTGGTGATTGAGGTCTGCCTGGTGACAGTTATCACTAACCCCAGTACCCTCCTTATTATCGGGATTTTCTTTATGCTTTATCTCCTCTAAGTTTTTATTGGTATTTTTTTTGGAAAGTGCCTTTTCACACTCGTTTTATAAGCCTCCGTGTACCCACATCACCTAACAAACACCATGATGGTTATCAAAACATTTACACATGAAAAAAATGACCAAATGTGTTTTCACATGAAGTACACATACAACAATATGCCAGTAAGCAGTATTTAAAGTTTGGTGTGTGAATGTATTTTGGATAAGATTAGTGTTACACATTTTTGAAAAATTTATGAATGAGATTAGGGTGGATACCTGAAAAAGTGCAACAGGAAATGACCTATAGGATGTTTATTTTGGGTTGAGCCAGATGGTATTAGGCGTTCTGGTGAGTATTCATCAAAATGTATGCCAAATAAAACTTAAAGGTTGGTGGAATGGCTCAAGGTAGAGACTTAGTGCCAAGTAAAGGTAAGGGTAAGAGATGACATTTAGAGCTCAGGGAGAAAGAATGAATTTAATTACTTTGTATGTCTGTTCTTCTGTCTGTTTTTGGACAAATGGCAATGTGTGTGTGTGTCTGTGTGTGTATATTGTAAGAGAAGGTCTTGAAAACACAAGTACACAAACACAAATATATGAGTGTGTACGTATTTGTGCTGGTGAGAAAGTAGCTTGCATTTTATGAAACATTTCTGCAGGTGACTGTTGAATAATATCTCAAAATGGCGAATTTAGTTCTATAAATGAGGCTTTATTACATAAAGTCTTTAGGCGTGCTGTACCAAATGTTTTGTGAGATGTGTATATATATTGATTGAAATTTCATTAGACAAAATGGTTCATAGTGGCGTTTCTGAACTGTGCCTTTCTCCGTGGTCAGAGCTTTGTGGAATGTTTATGCAAGTTACAATTGTTCAGCCATTTTTGTCATGACTTTCTAGTCGTGAATTCAGGACAGTCAGCAAAGTAAAGTCACAAGTGTGTTACTGACGCTGAAGTGTAATGAGGTGCCACCCAGGCTGCGAGGGGATTTTTGCAGAAATATGCTACTTCTTTGCACAAAGTAAATCCAGTCGTCTTGTGAGCGATTTCAAACTTGCCCAAGAAGGGTAATTGGTGGACTGTTGCATCTAGGTTGGAAGAAGCCATTCTGGTGTGGTCTCTGAATCCCCAAGAAGATGTAACTTGGTATGTAGGGAGGACTAGATAATCACTAATGATCCTTAACCGGAAGCAGATCGGCCTGGTAACACAGCTCTTTGGGTGCCACACAGGTACCATATAGATGGCTGGTGGGGTAGGGGTCTGTTGTATGGACAATTTTGGGTCAATAAATTGTCATGAAACTGGCTGTTTGTTTAATGTTTAAAGATCATTTAATTGCAAGGGTTATGCATGATAAATATATGGTTTGAATAACACAGAAAACATGTAGCCTAATTAAAATAGACATTACATATCTGGCAGATAGAATGCACATTGCAGTATGAATATAGTGGTTGAAAAAAATACTCGGAACCCAAAAACTGGAAAAGATTAAAACATTGCAGTGGGGTTTCAGCGTGGTTGGTGACTGCGGATGGGAATTAAACGGAAGTAGTTTATGAAAGCAAACCGAGCCACTGACATTAAGGAAAGGTCAGGCTACAGAAGACCAAGCCGTCACTGTAAATCCAGGACACTGTCTTTTATGCTACATGATTTGTAATAAAAACTTAATGTTTCATTGTTTCCCGGTGATAGTACTGAGCTGATTCATTATTTATATATATATATATATATATATTTTAAAAATTGCATAGTTTTATATATGTAACTACTCATAGCACTGACTTTTCAGAACGCATTGTCTGCATAAAACGGCAGACTAGGCCTGCAGCAAATAAATCCATTTATACTTTTGCAACAGAAAAGCCGACTCCGAACCTCTTTACGTGTTTATGAGCCCAGATTTTTACTATGGAATGAACATGTAATTAAACGCTGTGCAAAATGTAAAGATATATATGAAAAATGCAAAGTTTAAGTTGGATTTCAGGTAAAGACAGTTTGCGCAGACCATAACTGTGGAACTTTGCGCCATATCGACCCCCAGCGCAACACTGAGGCGAAGGCATCTGTTTACGAGGCATCCAGCGGTATGGACAGCTGTCGGCCCGGCGTGGGGCCGCCCGCCTGCAAAGCCCGGCAGTCTGCGACAAAACACTTTACCTGTAATCTGCTACAGAGCTGGGCTGCGTGCCTGCTTGTAAATGTGTGTGAGGAGTTATGGATGTAACTACATTGGAGATCGTTAGAAATGCTGAAAAAGGACACAAGGGCGGTATTTAACGGTACAATTATAATACATTTGAGTTAATTTAATCGAATGTAAGAATAATGCTGCATATGTGAATATAAAGACTATATTTAATTTGAATTACAATGATTCAAAACCTCCACAGGTGGTTGTGGGGGGGGGGGGGGGGGTGTAGCCCGCGAACTGCTAAATCAGCGCCCGCTCATAGGATGCCACCCTAGATTGCCGCTTATATCTAGTAATGGGTTAACCAACACTTGTGTCCTTCATATAAGCATAATGGGAGTCCACTATACCGCAACATATTTAACAGCGCCTTCTAATAGACATTAGAAGTATTTTACATGGAAAAGCAGTGCTAATTACTAGGTGTATTGTCCTTTGTCGCACCTGGATATCAGGGCATATGATTTGGTCAAAGTTTCCAGGTAGCAATCTGATTTTGAGCTGCTTAATTTCTTGTGTAGATAACGGAATTTATTTACATAATGATGCTAAATAAACTCTGCGGCCGACTACTGAATAAGCTATAATGAATGGACGGATAAATTGGCCCTCAACCAAGATTTGATTATTAATTTAGAAGGCGGGTTTCATTCCACGACCTCTAGGAGGCGCTCTTCAGGTCTTCTGGTTTTCCGTGTATGATAGTGTATGGCTATACACACATTATACTACGGCAAAGCACAACTTTGTAAATAATACTAATATTAATAACAACAATACATCCTACAAATATATCAGAATCGTAATATTTTATTATTGCCATTATTCTACTTATCTCTCACCGTAGTTTGGTTTATTCCCTCTCACCTCTCCCCGTTTCCCACCCTACCCACCGACGTCGGCGAATCCGAATCGAGCCGATCCCAGCCGAACTTAAGCGCAGGGACGCTACCAGTCGTATCCAACTCACCAGTATAAATGGGCATTTCATTTATATAATTTTTTTTTTCGGAGAACACTGCTGGATTGTTTTTCTAACCTTATTTTAAGGACTATGATGCAATTAATGACATGTTTTCGGTCTGTGTTTTGCCACATGTCAGGCTTTTATTACTTAAATACATACTGTAGGGCGCACACACTGGAACCCAATACATATCTTTACATGGAATGGGTGTACGGAACCTGCAAATACGACTGGACGATGTCGATGCCATGAACTGGAGGATGTAATTTATTCAGGGAAAGCGACGGCTTCAACGTTTGTGAAGAGAAATGCTTCGGATTATTTCATGAAACGGGGAAGGATGAAATGAAAACCCCACACAAGCTAGTCCACGACGCTAAGGTGTTCTCTTCGCGTTAAAGGATCATTTTTATTGTTCCATTTTGATGGTATTTTTTCCAGATACAGGCTGCCTTTGTAAAAATGTGGGTTTTACGTGCATACCAATTCTAGATATGTAATGGTAGCTATATACTCGAAATAATATATTAAAATATGAGTATTGCTTTCACCTAATCGATTTAACCAGCTCCTACCTCTTTCGGACTGATATCTTTGTGAGGTTTTATGGAAATTCAGAAGACATGACATGCAGTCGAAAAAAGAGGAAACGCTCCGTTTTGTTGATCAGAAATTGTGTTAATATACAGAGACCCCTGACTGAAAGATTTGCTGCTGGCACCATATACCTGTCATTGCATTAAATCGCACATTTCTTTCCCTCTGGATTTCTGCCATTTTAAGGGTTTTCCAGGATACTGAAAACAAGGTAAGGCGAGATATTTTTAATTGCATTACTATGTGTTTGTAATTACGTAAAGACGCTGATCATTGCAATAGTCTTGTCGGCGAGTGTTTATGTTGAATTGGTGCTTTTTTTCCAGCATCAATTATCGAGGACTGGAAAAAACAGTAATGCGGCCTGGTTGTAAATCCGCACCCTCCCCGTCGACCACATAGCGCAGAAACCAGGTGAGATGCTGTCCAGCGCCAGCATGACATTCTCCCTTTCGCCTCCTGCGTCCCATTAATCTGGCCGCCGGCTTTCTGTACGTCGGCCGCTGTCACAGGTAGGCCTGGTGCGTGATGTTGCGGCTTGTGAAATGTAGGTGTAGGATGATTGAGATATATATATATATATATATATATATATATATATATATATAAATAATATTATATAGTGCCTTTTTGTTTTGCAATACGTAGGTATAAGCACAGAGGTGTCTTAGGCAATGATTACACATTGATTACCCTGTTCAATATATGCATGCATGACTTACACTCGGGCATCTGTTTTTCCCCGAATGTATTTATACAGTAACCAACAGACAGGCCTCCTGAAAGATCGTAACAGATGGCGGACCCGTTTGTACATTTACGCTGGTGCGGGCGTAAAGGTGCCGACGCGCCACGTTCAAAATGCAGCATTAAAACAGAACGAATACAGGGTTAGGTGCTACACCGGCTACACTTCGGTTCTGCATTTATATTCTGATCTCGTCCTAATTGTATTTGAACGATGTAGAAGTAAGATGATATGATGCCGGCTTTGGTTGGTGAATTCCGCGACGCCTCCTCCCACCCCCAGCCGACGACAGCGGGACTCCGCTGTTGCTACCCGGCCATTTACAATGGTCCAGCCTCCTCACCTCCACAGCAACCCAAAGCCAGACGTATAAGATCATACGGTTCTGAAGTTATCCACTCAGGCCTAAATGCAAAGATGCTTCTTGCTTTCAGCCTGGGATTACTCAGAAAGTAAATGAGATTAACTGCATCAAACATACAGATATTCTTCTACCCCATTGATATAGAAATACATATACCCTGAACACATATTAATCATAGAATGTCTGTTTATTTCTCAGGTAACAGGTCTTTTATATTAATGTTCAATGTGTTCTGAAAATAATCAGTATGAATGTAACCCAGTGTTCATATGAAAACTGGATTTTTTTTCTTGTCTTTTATTAATTTACACTGTAATTTCCTATCATATATTCTCATTGATATTATATAATCAAAGTATATACCTGCACGATACCCTGTTCTTTATGGTGTTGCCTTGTGTATATACAGTATAGTATGAAATGTGTTACTCACCTCAACACTGATCACTTTTACTTAATAGTGGTAACATTAATAAACTCCAAATTATGCTACAGATTCATCTTAAAATCATGTTAAAAACAGACATTTGGTATAATGTAATGTGAAGTGCCGGTTGAATGAAGAGGGATTGTCAGAGACACAGCATTTACCTGATTTAATCAGGTGTAAGATCATCACTCACTAGATGTTCCCTTTCATTTCCAATGCCACACTGAACAGGAAATGAGTTTCACATTAAACGTTTAATCAAGTCTCTTTCTTTCCTCGTCATGGATCAGATTGGTCAGATAGCTTTTCCTTTGCCTGCCCACATTATATTCTTCAGAAGATGAAACCATTATTTTTAGTGGGTGGTGGTGTTATATGACAACGCCTGTGTCCTGGGTTCGAGTCAGACTGCATTGTGTGCTGTGTCTATGTGGATTTCTTTCCACTGCCTAAGCTAATTCGAGTTATTAGTTCACCTTCTGCTAGCTGTGATCAGAATATCATTCATTGGGTTAAACACTAAAAAGCACAATATTACTGTTATCAAGCGCCATTAGCATAATAAATGCATTAAAAGATAAGAATACAGATTATCCTTAGAAGCTGTTCATGGAAAGGTTTGCAATTTTGTATTAAAATTATTTGAAATATGTTACAGCTAGCTGATAATTAATAATAAATGTAAGATACCGATTAAATACATGGCAACATACTGTATGAAGTATAATTGCTGTACTAGGTAACATAGCAAGCTGCCTAATACACATATTATTTTGAGTGATAAATGGGCAGGTTAGCAGAAATCTGTTGTATGGAGGGAAAATTAGCACTGTATGATTTTTACCACTGAAAAACACCACGTTGTTAGGGCTGCACGATTATCACATGCCGATTATTTGGTGCATGCACAATCATCACCAGGGCTTCAGACGACGGCCGTAGACATTTATCCAGATGCCAGCTTTTCAGAATCACATGGACGTTTACTTACGCCGACAGTTTGGTAAGCAGATTAGTAGTGGGCCTAAAATATTATTGAGAGGCGTAGGGTGACGCCTCAAAGTTGCTAATCTGTATAAATTCAGTGTATCCTTATGTTTAATAAACGCGTCGGTCTTTAAACTGCAAAAAGTAGTACTGCCACCCCACCAACATCTTTTTACCTTGTTTATCTACAATATATCCTATTTCAAAAGATGTAATGGCTGCTGAGCTGCCCTTTTCTTCACCACCACTTCAGTGCTTATTGCTTCCATGATTTACTAAAACAGTAGCATGTGGCGCGCTCCGCTAACCGAATTTAATAAGCATAAGGATATGCTGAATTTGTACAGATGACTAACTTTTGGGCATCATAATATGCATCTCATTAATATTTTAGGTGTACTGCTAAACTGCATACCAAATTGTGGGCGCAAGTAAACGTCCGAATAGTACTGAAAAGCTGGTGTCCAGACAAATGCCTGTCATCTGAAGCGCTGGTGATTATTACGCATGCACCATATAATCACGATTACATTGATATTGTGCAGCCCTACCTGTTGGTGTTGAGATTATTATAAAATAGACCACATACAGGACTGAAGGGGTGGCATGATTGTGCAATGGTTTGCACTGTTGTCACATCTCTGGGACCAGAATTTGAGTCCCTGCCATGGCTCCATGTGTGGAGTTTGCGTATTCTCCCCGCGTTGTTGTGGCGTTTCCTCTAGGTACCCAGTTTTCCCCCCACAGGCCAAAAAACATGCTGAGATTCATTGGAGTTACCAAATTGCCTGTAGGTGTGCATGTGTGAGTGAATGGTGTGTGAGTGTGCCCTGCAATGGGTTGGTGCCCCATCCTGTGTTGTTCCCTGCCTTGCGCCCGTAGCCTCTGGGATAGGCTCCGTACCCCTCGCCACCCTGAATAGGACAAGCAGTTTCAGAAAAGGGATGGATGCGTGTTTAGCCAGAAAGACATTGATATTACCCAAAACTTGCAAATCAGGCAAGTAGCCAGTTTTAGGGTTGACTGATGTAATTGGCCATTTACATAGTTATTATTTATGGATTACTATTAATATTTATTGATTAAATAATTTGGAATGTTTTTTTTTTGTTAGATATATAGTTATTGTACAAAAACACCAGTTTATTTATGACATTAAGCTGGTTAGATTATTTTTTAAAAATTGACTGTACTCATTGAGCATCTGATGTCCCAAAAATGAAATGGATGCTTTGTTTTTTTCAGCGTAAGGCGTAGGGTTTGCAAACAGCAAGACGGGGGTCTGTGAAAAATGGGGCAACACAAAATGAGGTCCCCCAGTTTCTTGTGAGTGCGAGACGAGAGGCAGCCACGAAGACGTACAAGAGAGAAGTCCGAGGAGGAGGAGGAGGAGGTGGAAGAGGAACAGGGGACCGGCAGCCCCTGGAGAAGGTAGGGAGCAGTGGAGCACAAGGGATGGCCAGTGGAAACGAGAGCAGCCATGTTTCTGGCAACCCGCTGGCAGCCATGGCGACCACGGGAAGCGGGGTGGTGGGTGAGGATTGGTCCTCAGCAGTGTCCACCTATGTCAAGTTGGTCCTCCTGGGTCTGATCATCTGTGTCAGCCTGGTGGGAAATCTGGTGGTATCTCTGCTAGTCCTGCGGGACCGGGGGCTACACAAAGCACCCTACTATTTCCTGCTGGATCTTTGTCTGGCCGACACCATCCGCTCAGCTGTCTGCTTCCCCTTCGTCCTGGTGTCCATCAAGAATGGCTCCGCCTGGACCTACAGCGTGCTGAGCTGCAAGGTGGTGGCCTTCATGGCCGTGCTCTTCTGCTTCCACGCCGCCTTCATGCTCTTTTGCATCAGTGTCACACGCTACATGGCTGTGGCACACCACCGCTTCTACTCCAAGCGCATGACCTTCTGGACCTGCGTGGCCGTGGTCTGCATGGTGTGGACCCTGTCCGTCGCCATGGCATTTCCGCCCGTCTTTGACGTGGGCACCTACAAGTTCATCCGTGAGGAGGACCAGTGTATCTTTGAGCATCGCTACTTCAAAGCCAATGACACACTGGGCTTCATGCTGATGCTGGCCGTGCTCATCCTGGCCACCCACGTAGTCTACATGAAGCTCCTGTTCTTTGAGTACAAGCACCGTAAGATGAAGCCTGTTCAAATGGTGCCAGCAATCAGCCAGAACTGGACCTTCCATGGGCCAGGTGCCACTGGCCAGGCGGCAGCCAACTGGATTGCGGGTTTTGGCCGGGGCCCTATGCCGCCCACTCTGCTGGGCATCCGGCAGAACCTGCACAACCAAAACCGACGGCTGCTGGGTATGGAGGAGTTCAAGGTGGAGAAACGTCTTGGGAGGATGTTCTACGTCATCACCTTGTCCTTCCTCGTGCTCTGGTCGCCTTACATCGTGGCCTGCTACTGGCGTGTCTTTGTGAAGGCCTGCACCATTCCTCACCGGTACCTCTCCACCACCGTCTGGATGAGCTTTGCTCAGGCTGGGGTCAATCCCATCATCTGTTTCTGCCTCAACAAGGACCTGAAGAAGGGGCTGCTGGCTCACTTGCCTTCCTGCTGTAGGACTACACCTCAACTACCCCGAGAGGCCTACTGTGTCATATGAGGGAGGGGAGGGGGGGATTTCTAAGGGAGGGGTGGGCTTGTGGACTGAGATTTTTATCTGTAGGGGATAGATGGGGTGACCTGGGGTGGGGGGAACACTAAAAGTGTTGTGGCCTTTCAGTCAGTGCAAGATGCTTTAATGTCCAAGGTTTAGCTAGAATGCACGGTGAGAGGTGATGGACTGAGTCATAAGTGTTGAAGCTCTTGTCCCATCTGGTGTGACTCTTGTTCCTCCTTTTGAAAAGGTGAAGAGGGATCATTTATGCCAGACACAAGATGGCTATTAGTCACAGGCATTAGGACACGTATGAAAGAGGCAAAGTGGCTTAGTACTCGCAAGACCACGGAGCGGAACGTTTACGGACAGAGGCAGCGCCTACATGCAGCATTTGTTGTGATGTTTAAATGTTTAAGAGAGGCAAGCTAGCCAAGCGTTACAACATATTACTCATGTAGTCAGACCGCTGGGAGGTTCCAGAACGTAAATATTTCAGTAATGCAGAACGCAGTGTGATAAGGTCATTATGAAACAGACGATCCTGTCCCAGCAGTCGACACGTCTCTCGAAACGGTTTTACTACCAAAGACAACAGTGGAAATGGGAGTGAACATGATAGGGTGACATCACCATGGCCTGATCACGGACTCCACACCATCAGAAAACAAGTTAGATGTTCTCATCTTTACAAAGTTCTTACAGTCTTGTTTTACTTGATTAATGACATTCAGATAAAGAGGTTATTTTAGTGCAGACATTGTAAGCCTAAATGCACTAGAACAACTGTCAGAGAGACTCATGGGTAATCTACATTCATTTTTTTAAAGGGTGCAGGGGAATCTCAGGCCACAGGAATTTACATATCAAATACAACACGTCTTTCTCATCTCCATAACACTGTTTGGAATGGTACCTGGACTCTGAAGACCTCCCTGCACGGTGGTCTTTGTTTTGCTCCTGTTCTGCCTCATTCAGAGCGTCAGTCTGTTGAATATCATGCGTGAGGTGGAAAATAGCACCTGGGGGGGGGGTGGGTGGGGTGAGGGGGTTGTGCAGGATTTTGAAGAAAGGGGGAGTGCTAATTCTCCTTGGAAGCTGGTCCGAGGGTTCTAGAATAGTGTCCTTCACTGCCTCTTATTCTCAATTCCCTCCCCTTGTTCTTACACAAGGTTCCGGATCAGGTTGCTGAGTCACACCGGAGACCGGTGAATGGGAATTTTAGCAGAAGGCCTTGTGCAGTTTTATTTTCATAAAGCACTCTATGAGGATGTAGATGCTTATGATAGGAGAAACATGTTCACGGAGAATAGCAGATAGCCGGCTTGTACCCTGAATTCGCCAAGCTTCAGGTATTTGCACTTTGTGATGATCTGAGGAGACTTAATTCTAACAGCGAGGTCTGACTGACTGGTTCCTTTAGAATGTCTGACCGCAGATTGTGCCGTTACAGTAATGGTGTCATAGGTGTTGTTCAAGGGAAATTTTCATAAATCTTTCGTAAAAGCCATTATTCCGAATCAGCCACAAAACTATGTGGAGCTCCCAAAACGGTCAGGTGGAACATATGTAATGCAGACTTGAGTTATCAGATATATTTTTTCTTCTGTTGAAAATAATTAATAATAATCAAAAGGTAATTATTATTTGGTCATATCAATGTACAATTTAACCAAATGTTTATGTGATCGATTTAAAAATATATATTTATGTATAACTAGGTTCTCAGTGAAATCACAAGATTGCATTTTCCAATATAGAATGATACACTCAGTGGCCACTTTATTAGATACACCTGCTCATTAATGCAAATAGACATGGGTGTAAATTATGGGGGCATATCCCCCAATATTTGGAACCAGCCAATACAACAATACAACCCCCTGCTCAGCCCAAAGTTATGCCCTTGCAAACAGAGAATCGTGCGGCTACAGTTTAACATATATACAGCACACAGATGGGGTCAAGAGGTTCAGTTACTGTGCAGCTAGGAATTAGAACGGCTAAGACACATGATCTAAGTGATTTTAAATGTGGTGTGAGTATTAGTGCCAGACACAGAGTTCCTGCTGCTCAGACACAGCCACCCACCTGAGAATCTCACTTACTACAGTGTACAGAATTTACAGAGAATGGTACAATATACAAAAACATCCAGTCAGCCTCAGGTTTGTAGCTGAAAAGCACCTTGTTATTAAAAGGGATGATAGGAGGAAGCCCAGACTCATTTAAACTAACAGAAAGGCCACAAGTGCAAGGATAGCAGCTTGGTGTAACAGTGGTGTGCAGAAAGGCTTCTCTGAATGCACATGTTTACTTTTGAAGTAATTCTGGAGACAAACGTTGGTCCTATGTGGTACATCATAGGAGAACCTAATAATGTGGCTACTGAGTGTACAGCAGACTGTAAAAAATACAACTAACAATTATAGCAGAGGAGAAAATAAAATAACAAAGAGAAAATAAAATACCAGATTGTTCACCATGGCCTTAAACTGTCAAACGAAGGAGCGGGATTTGTACTCGAGACTGCTTAAGAGATTTGTCTGCAGTACGGCCCGGATGACCAGGAAAATGGTGACAAATGGGGACAGTACGAGCACTGTGGGATTCGTGAGTCCTGGAGACACGTTCTTCTGATTCTCTTTGGCTTTCTGACCGATTTCCAAAATGAGGAGATGAACTCTGAGTAGGAGAGGCGAAGATGACATGTGGAACAACGGAAAATGAACTTTCGCCGAACTCTAAGAGAACTGGACTCGAGCTGAGAAGGAAGAGCGCACAGTCCGCTTGGAACAGCTCTGGGGGCTGGAGGGGGAGGGGGTGTCATTTTTTATTTTATTATTTCCAGAGGATTGAAGGCAGAGAAGTGGCCAGGTAGTAGATGTTGGACTGTGGAGAATAGGTTTGGGGATTGGGGTTTTTAACAGGGTGGGTAGAGGGGGAGCCATGTTTTGGGGTGTTTAATACAAACAGCCTGATTTTGTAAACAAAAGAATAATGTTTCTTCAGGCATACTATGTTTTGTAAATTCTCTGTGACCTCTGTACTATCTAATGTGCATCAGATGGACGGACTGCTTCTGAAAATCACTATGTTTTTTTCATGCATGCATGTGTGTGTGTGTGTGTATGTGTGTGCGTGCACGCGCATGTGTGCGTGTGGGGAAAAATGACATGATGAAAAGGGTTGTTTTAAAGGGGGCTGTTGAGATAAATGGAGAGGATGTTTAAGGAAAGATGGGCCACAGACACACGAGCCTGAAAAATGTCCCTCCTATGGCTGAATCATAATTTAAAGCTTTTTAATGGAGGATTATCCCACCCTCCCTCTGAACAGTATTTACACATGCATTGGAAACAGTTGTGTCACACCCTGAGATTTGAAAGCCATCATCCATCATCAACATTATTCAGACATAAAGTCATTCCTTGCTGATCCGGTGCCCCCTCACTGCCATGTGACTGGAATTATCATGAACTTACGCTGAATTCACAATTCATGTGCATGCCATTCTGGGAACAGGGGGTGGGGGGGTTCGGTCTGTAAAATATTAGCTTGTTTATCCGAAAGCAAGTGCAGTTCATCAGTTAAATGTACCTGTCAAGTTCCTCGACACTTCCTGGGGTGGCTGTGTGAAATGTGAAGACCAAACTGAGGTCAAGTTAAAATACAAAAAAAAAATGTGTTTCTTCAGTTATTACAACCAGGAGCTACATTTTTCATGGTTTCACGTTTGTGGTTTGCTAAAGCTGTCAAACTGAGTAACACCGAAGCCACACGACGTATGACAGTGTGTAAAGTGGAAGCTCTTGTATTTTAGGTTGAGTGCTTTTTTTTTTCTGTACATCTAAAGGTGGATTTTTACCACTTGACAATAAAAATCTACTTTTGATGCATTTTTGACAAGATTTCTATGTTGTTTGTTATGAAAGCGGTAGTCACAGGTTCAAACTATTTTAGAACTTCACTCGACAAATCGAAACGACGCTTAACTGACATTCAGCCTGAAGAAGAAAAGCCCAACCCAAGGCTTACAAGATGACAGAAATGATACCCAAGAAAAAAGAAGAGAAACATTCTTTATGTAGCATTTTTACGAGGCGTTTCCGCCCCACATACTATAGTGTTACCCTGTGAGCAGAGGCACAGCGGGAGTCAACCTGGGACCTTTGATCACTGAAGGTATGGGGATTGTCAGAGAGGGAATCAGGTGGGAAATGGGGGAAGAAAAAATGTCCTATCCTCCTGGAAAAAATGGGAACTGAAGTGGACTTCATCAAACGCATTCCCTTTATTCTGGGGAGGGCAACAGCTGCTTTTCCAAAGAAGGGTTTGTAGACTGGGGTCCCCATCTTCAGCTTCATGGCCGCTGTGGATATGAGCGTTAAAATGGACATAATTCCCTGCTGACTTACAGAATTTTTGCTTCACAGAGTGGTTTCTCTGATGCCATTGGGAACTTTGTCACTGACTGCCTGTTGAAGCTGAAACTTGGAAAGTTAGTTTATGGAATGCAGCTTGTTTTTTTACAGCTGTTATTTTCAAACAGCACTTCCTGAACTAGTAGGCCTATGTGTAGAAGAGACTGGACACCGATCCAAAGTGTTACGAAGTGGAATATGGCCCCGAATTCTGACTTCCACTCAAATTAGAGTACACTACAGCCCCCCACACACACACACACACACACACACACACACAAAATCAGAGGTCATGTCACAGGTTATCGCCTCCATAATGTCTCTGAGGGTCACATTTAACTTATCAATGCCCATTAATCTGGCTAAGACACTTGTCAGTGGAGAGGATTCAAAAGCAGAAAAACAGGCGACACGTACGATTTGCTTTGCAAATTCATAATCCAGATCAGGCCTCCATACCTGGTTTTAGGATAAATACTTAATACATCTGTTAGGAAATATCCAGCAAAAAATTGTAAATATGTATAATTTATTAATATTAGCAAGGTCATCCAAACTGATTAGGGTCTGATTAACTGCAGG